CAAATTTTATTAATTTTTAAAGACATACAAAACATAAATACACAAAAACACAAAACATAAAAGCATAAAAAATCTCTTTTCTGAAAGTTGCTTAGTCCCGGGTTATAACTCTTGGTACAGACACAAATTCAAATTCATATTCATTTTACATACCATTTCATATCTTATTAGCATTTTCAATTTTCTATATAACTTCTCCTCTCTTTTAAATTTTCTCAATTTTATTTTATTTATCTCCTCTCAATTCGAATCATAATATTTATTATTCTTTGTCTGTTCTATTTCCAGCCATCCATTTATTTTTCTTTTTTAAAAAAGAAGAAAAACTTCTCCTGTACACTAAATGGAGTATGATGCCTTTATCTCTTTTCCCTATATTTATAATACTTAATATAAAACACATAACTTACATTGGGATTCTGTCTGGTACATTCTAAAATTATACCATATTATCAAAAATAATACAAATCTATTCATTAATATTGATATTCATTTATATCTTAAACATCTAACACATTACTTTTCAGTTAAATCACATACTTTTATGGGAGCACCTATTTTCGATAGTTATCCCACACACACACATCACATATTATAGCTCATTATTTCATTACGATGTTCCTCCTTCTTCTACTTCAAATCTCTCATTTCACAAAATTTTTTGCTAATATACCATAATCTAATCATTAATATAAACAATCATTTATATCTTAAACATTTTATCCATTTCAATTAAATATCATGCCTTTGTGGGAACACTTATGCTTTCCAAAATTATTACCCCCCCACATCACATATCTTAAATCATATTTCATTACAATACTCCCTTTTTCTTAACAAAAATTTCACTAGTTTATATTAAATATTTTATCACATTTTAAATTACATATTATTTCCGATTTTCTATGGTTATTTCTAAATACAAATATAAAAATGCAATCTTATGTACCTTTCTAGAATCCCTTTTTCAGTAAGATTTATCCATTATCTCTAAAAAAACTTCTGCTTCTTGACATCTTGCTCCCCACCATTAAGGCTTCTCATCCCTTCCTTTCTCCCTTGCTTCTTCTTCTCCTTGTCCTCTTTAACCCCTTGTCTCTCCACCTCCCTTTTCTTCTGCTTTCCCTCTTTCTGTTGTTTCCTAACATAATGTCCCCTTTTCACCTTATTCTTCTCTTTTTGGGTTGTTTTACCAGATCTTAAAGTCTTCTTTTCCTTTTTCTCTTTCTTTTTCCCTTCTCCAACCAAAGTTATTTGTTCATCAAAGATGGCTTCTTCTTTGTCCCCATCATCCTGTTGCTCATTCTGCTTCACATAAGTATAAACCGCCATTTCTAAAAATTGAAAAAGAGTGCCAAGAACATCTTTCCCTTCTTGCTTTTCTTTTTCATATTTTTGATATACAAGTTTCAGTCCATCCACAAATGATGCCATTGTGTAGAGAAAAAGTTTTTCCAAACAACCACCCAGATGTTTTTGATCAGAAATAATTCTCAAAAGTTCCAAAATTACCAAACAATCCAAACAGGCTGTTTCTTTTAAATACCTTCTTCTTCTTCACTTTCTCTTTCTGGAGTTAAAGTTTAATCACAAAGTTCCCTTTAAAATATATATATATTAGAAGTCTTATTGATGTTTAGTAACTCTTTAAAATTCTAGGCAATCTTCTCCTTATTTTCAAATTTTGCTCCAATTTTTTTCCCCTCTCCCTTCCCACTCACAGCCAAAAGGGTTTTTTCCATCCGCTGTCACATTAGGAAGGAGAGTGGAACGGAAAAAAAAACTTTCCCTTTTAGAATATTCGCAGCTTGTAACTCTCACTAGAAACAATGTATACTTAGCAGCCTTCAAGGTTCCAGGTCACTTTCTCTTGCCTTGTCCCGGTTGAAAGCAACTTTCACAATTCTTCCAACTTTCTCCCTCCTGCACCTGCTTGTCCGGCTGCAGATTTCTTCGTGGCGGCCATTGCTGACCGCTGTTCCTCTGCCTCGGGAAAAGGGGTTTTTTGCCGGCTGAGGAGGGGGTCTGCGACACCCCCAAACCTCTTTCCGGATCCCCCCTGTCTTCAGCTGCCTCTACGGGGCAGCTATATCCCCCAGATCCAAACGGATCGGGGGAACCTTGGAGGCGAACGCAGCAGGGATCTCGCAGTGTCGCGAATCCCTGCCGCCGCCGAAACCTTGCAAACTGGAAGTTCCGCCCCCGCTCCATTTTTTGCCTTTCTGGCTCCCAGAGAAGCCTTCTGGGAGCAAAAATGCCCCCCCACCCCAGGAGGCTTCCCTGAGGCCCAGGAGACAAAAACTCATGGGGACTGCAAAAATAAGGCCACACCCACCCAGTCACAGGGCCACACCAACCTAGCCATGCCTTCCTAGCCATGCCCACAGAACCAGTTGTCAAAAAATTTGAATCCCACCCCTGCTTGCTCCTCCCCTCCAGCCACTCTTCCCTTCACATGGCCTCTCCTTGCTGGGATGCTCGACTCATACTTTGGCCAAGGATAAAGGACTATTGACAGCCTGCTTCCCCTTCCCTCCTTATGCTGCACCAAAGAAAGTCACCTTCTCACACTTTTCCATCTGCCCAGACTGAAGCCATTTCAGCATCTCGGTGATCCTCTAACTTCCGCTCCCTCCAATCAATCTAAAGCATCTAGACCCACTTAGGTTACGGATAAGGTGCCCACTTAACAAGATGATTTCAATCTTCTTTAGAAGAAGATGGACATACAACAGAGTGCAAGCATTATGGGGTAAAATTCTGGTTTATAAAGAACTTCAATAGGTATCATTTATATAGAAGCTGTGATGTAGATTTGGATGTAACAGAAGGAACCAAGGAAAATAGATTTTTTTTTTTGCTCTTTGACTTTGATAAAGCAAGTAAATATATTTTGATTTTTAGGATTATTGAAGTGAATTGAAGCAGCATCTTATCATCTCATTTCAGTAGTATTATGACTAGATAGAATCAATGCATATTATGGAACAAAGAATTCAGAAGATAAAATGAGTAACATGCGTCACAGATTACAAATAGCAGAATCTGATCTTTATAAACAGAAATGTAGAACATTTCAGAAGAGAGCAATTTTGTGGACATATGGAATAGCTGCTTGGAAATTTGCCTGATATTGCAGACATGGAGGAAGGTGAAGGTGGAGTACATGATCGAAAACAGAGGAAGCAAGACAAACAACGCAGTAGTTTCTGTTTGATGGTGGACATTATGTGATGGACAGATGATTTATGTGTGTGTGTTTGTGTGTTTGTCTGCGCACTTGTTCCTGACTTTGTAAGGCAGCTTTGAAGTTGGTTTCACTTGAACTTTCATATTAGCAAGGCAACTCTTTTTTTCTGAATAATTTTACAAACATAAACATTAAAAACAACATAAATGAATGATCAAAAGAAGTGATAAAGAGTAAAAAAAGAACAGGGACAGAAATGTAATAAAGAAAAAAATACAAAGAATGACTTCCATCTTCTTCTTCCAAGGTTAGAGATTGGCACTGGGTTGACTATCCAAACATGCAGAGATACTGAAGCTCTTTCATCCTGGATAGCACAAATGGGGCTTTCCTTGAACAAGCTCAATAGATTTGGGTAGACTTGGAAGCTGGGTCAGGCTTGATGAACACTGCTGAGTTTAAGCAGGGAGACTTGAGCTTCAGCAAAAAGAGCTACTAAGAAGGAGCTCCAAAGCTGGAAGGGACAGTGACTGACTGCCCTGGTTGCTTCAACCTTCCCTGTGACAGAATCCCTGGTAGAGCAAGTCATCACAGATTGGGCCCTGATTGCTTTCTTCCTTTGAGCACTGTATTGGTTTGCCAGTTCTTCTCTCCTGAGCTGGGTGTAGCTCATTCTGGCTTCAACATCAGGCTGTCCAGTGATACTTTTATCTCTCCCAATTCCCTAACCCAGACAAAACAGAACAAACCATTGTTAACATAACACTCAGTACATTGTCATTTTGTCCCCTGTCCCAATTGGGGGAGGGGATCAAAAGTCAACATGGCAACCATGACTTCACAATCAACGCTCCAGCCATTTTAAAGTATCCAATGATATTCTTGGAACATTTATTTATTTATCCATGCATTCAAAGTTGATATAGTTATCCATCTTCGACTGACTCTTTAAAAATTAAAAAGGTGTGGGGTTTCAATTGCATATTTCCTTCCCCCCCTCATCCTCAAGTATCAATTGCACAGAAATTGCAATTGAAGTGAGAAAAAGACTAATCATTACCTGAATGAAAAAAATTAAACTGGAGGTATGAAAAGAAGACTGTGGTCATAACTGACTGAGATAATGCAAGCTTCACCTTTCCACAGTAATAGCATAGGAAGGTAGCCCTCAGGTTCCAATGGCAACTGGGATCACAACTTCCATTGCTAAGTGGTGCGGTTATAAAGCATGATGTTGCAAAATGACAGTTCTCCCTCCCACCCATCTCCTTTACAAGAGAAAAACTATGGTGTGTCTCTTCTAAGCCTCTTTCCCTACCCACTCTCTAGCTGCAGCCTATGCTGTCCCTTAGTAACATCTCTTCACCTACTGTCTCAAGATCTTTCTCACATACCATTACAAGAGATTTTTTATTTTGCATTTGACCTGTTTTTATGGGAAGACTGGCTAGGCAAGCATACGTTCCTTGCTGACAAAGCCTAATAGATATTGATCTACTTTCTGGTTATTAATCTACTTTCTAACCTTTCTTTCACTCTACATATTTTTAAAAACAATTTAGTCTATACTCATGCTTGTCTAGGTGAAAAATACATTTATAATCCATAAGAACATATGAACATTGAAGAAGAGATTAATGCTCAAGGGAATACAAAGGGCAGAGAAAGTAATGCAATGCAGAGATTTCTGTTTTTTTTCTGGAGGCCAATCCCTCATCTGCAAATATTGGGAATGGTGCCAAGATTTGCCAAAGCTGGTGTTGCAAAAGAAGACTTTGAACATAGTTTCCTCCTGTACCTTTTCAAGGAAATTCGATGATTTCCTCACTTCTCTGTTTACAGTACTAATAGGCACTGCTATATATACAAGAACACCTAAACCCCCAGCCCAGCTCAAAGACATATTTAAAGGACAGCAAACTAGTTTCCCCGAGGCAAGATGACAACTTGGATGGGTTTTTGCTTCCTGTTCCTGATTGCTCTGTCTGCAGAGAGGGGACTATCCACACAGGAGGAGACAGAAACCAGCTGCTGTGCACGTGAGTCTCAATTGATCCTTTCTGGGGTGAGCCAGTTAATTAAGATAGATTGGTTTAGTGAGCTTCCTGCAGTAAAGTGCTGTTTGGCATCTTTGCTGCACCTTCAGGCTATGGTGAATTTTGTTTTGTTTTGTTTTTCCTTATGCTGAAACCCAAACACAACAATGTGGGGAAAGCATTGTCTTGTAGCCATTTCCTGCTTGGTTATTGGCCAGAGGGAGGAATGGAAGTTCAAGGAGCAAAGTTGTCAGACCCACAGGAGGAGATTTAGTGAAATTACAGAGTTCTAGGAAAAGGGTTTAATGGACGGGGAAAGAAATAGACCAGTGGAGTTTGCCTTTGGCCAAAAAGTGTGTAAGGTAATCAATTAGAATATTTGAAAGCAAATTTGAACATGCCATTATTCTTCTGCCCATCTCACCCTTCCTCTTGCAGTTCAAAAAATGCAGGCTTTAAAAACTTGCAAAGGCTCAGTGAAAAAATAAGAGTGAGCTCACCCAGAATTCCCCACAATAGAAATCCAATATTATCTGCTGACTCATCCTTGTTTTCTAGTATCCAAACTAGGACCACTGTGTGACTTGTCTGACTGCGAGGAAAACCTTCTTGCTTTTGTTTAGTTTTTCACTCTGTTTATGCTCTTTCTTCTATTCCAGAGCTGAAAGGCTTAGCACAATGTGGGAATGACAAGATTGTTCTCCAGGGCCAGGCAGGAATACCTGGAATTCCAGGTGTGCCAGGAACAAATGGTCTTCCTGGAGCCAGGGGTGAGCCAGGACCTCAAGGCCCCCCAGGTAAGTTGATGCCTACTTCTATAGGTGATTGATGTCGAGGAGTTATAGCAGCTTATTTGCTCTAGGAAACTAGGAAACTCATAGCCTGGACTATCTAGAAGAAAGAGTGTTGGAGAAAGCATTACCAAGGTTACTGGCAGAAGGATGAAAACCATGACCTGCCCCTCAAATTCCAGCTAAGAGGGGAGGATGCAAGTACTAGCAAAGTTGTATTTCAGGTCCGGAAGAAGGTTTTTAAAATGCTGATGATTGTGCATTAGTAGCAGTTGGGAACTTTTAGGGAGGATGGAATGGATCATTTTGTTAAAAGAACTATTCTTATGCCCACCAGCTTTCTTCCTTTCCAGGGATCAAACAGTTCTTTCCTAGTAAGGTGTTATTGTCTTCACAGTGCTTGAGAAAGATGAGGAAAACCTTGGAAAACAATGCAATTCTTCCATTATGTGGAAAGTATATAAGTAGCTCTCCTGTTTATCAAAGGGTTGTTGCCCCCTTTTTGCCAACTGAGAGATAGAAGACTCTGTGATGACCTTGTTTTTTTACCAAGACAAGATTTGGAATCTCTTGGTATATTCCAGATGTTTTTTTTAAGGGACATTGTTCTGTTCTCCTTAGGTGAAAAGGGCTCTGCTGGGATACCTGGAAAAGCTGGACCAAAGGGAGACAAAGGAGACAAAGGAAACAATGGTAATGTATCTCCAGAGATCCATTTTTGAATGAGGGAGATTTATGGAAATCCCAAGCCACTGGGCATCCTAACAAATATTCTGACTCAAGCTTCTACTTTGATGATCACTCTGCAAGACAAGTTCTTTGCAAGTGTATTTTCTACATTTTTCTACATTTTCTACATTCTATTCCTCTATGCAAGAAAATAGATTACAAACTTGCATAAAAAAGGTGTGGTTATATAGATAGTTCTCAATGTATGACCACAATTGAGACCAACATTTTCATTGCTAAGATGATTGTTAAATAAGTTTGCCCCTTTTTTGCGACCTTTCTTGCCACAGTTGTTAAGTGAATGGCTGCAGTTGCTATAAGTTAGTAACATGACTGTTAAGCAAATCTGGTTTCCCCAGTGGCTTTGATTGTCAGAAAGTTGCCAAGGTGACCACAAGGCTCTGGGAAACTTCAGTCATTATAAGTATGGGCAAGTTGCCAAGCTTCCAAATTTTGATCATGTGAATAGAGAGATGCTGCAACAATTGTCATGTCATAAGTCACTTTTTTCTCTCTCTCTTTCCACAGGGGAACCCTGCCGCTTAGAAGGCTGTCAGCGGGAAGGTATGTCAAGCATTCTCCCTTTGCTTATTCAGTCACTTCAACCCCCCAGATAATTGGCCTAAATGCCATCAGTTTGGTTTTATCTTCGTTTTCATCTTCCTTTATTTGACCTTTATGACTCAGGATAATAAATGCAAAACTGTCTGAATAGGCTAGAATGGATGCTTGGCATAGTACAAATTCTCTGATCACAGATTAAGGATTGTTGTGATGCATTTCTGTTGAGGTAATTCCCCATTAGGAGAATGAGCGCACACAGGGAGACGTAGTGAGAGAAGTGTTTGAATAATACACACACAGCACACAGATACACTGTACAGTAAATGTAGGTTTTTACTTTCAGAAATGTTAAGCAAAGTTCAAACATAGTCCAAAGTCATTCACAGATAAGTCAGTCAGTTTTTAGTCCAGGGATAATCCAATAACAAAGTCCTATGTCAAAAACAGTTCAGTATCAGACTTACATCAAATCCAAGAATAACAGTCAATACAGGAACGGCAATACTCTCCAACAGAAGGAAACAAGAGATTCACTCACACTCTCTTCTGAGACTAAGACTAAACAACCCAGGTTTCTGGCTCCATCTTATGGCCGTTTGAGAAACTACACCCAATTACAATTTTAGGATTCTCTTAAAGATACAGTATTAAAATGTTTGTCCTGGTTTATATATTTTAAACCCAAATACCTGTTAGGTGACTTACATTCCTAACAACTTCATCTGGACATATCAGCTTTCCCCAACCTGTGTCTTCTAAGAATGTTAGACTCTAGCTCCCATTACCTCCCCTCCCCGATAATGAATGGCTGTAGTTGGGAGAAACCTGCTACATATTCAAATACTGTATGTTTTATTCAGGTCTTTAAGAATCTGTCTAAACCAGTGGTTCCCAAACATTTTCAGTCCCCCCCCCCTTGGTGCTACAAACTCATCCTCAGTGCCCCCCACCCAGGGGTGGTTCTGTGGGGTCGCCTAATTTGTGGGTGTGGCTTGGCGGTCATGTGACTGGCTGGGGCGTGGCTTGGTGGTCATGTGACTGGCAAATCAAATACAAGTGGTCCTCGCTTAATGGCCAGTTGCTTAGCAAGTGTTCTAATTTATGACTGACCTCCCCAGAGCTACTTGACCTGTTTTTGAGTTTTGACAGCCATGCACACACACACACATACACAAACTCTCCCTTCTAAACCTGGTGGAGCTGGTGGTTGGGCTAGATATCATGTTCACTTTCTCCTCCCTCCCTTTCTTTCTTTTTTCTTTCTTTCTTTCTTTCTGTCCCTTCCTTCTATCCCCCCTTCCTTCTTTATCTATCCCTTTTCTTTGTTTCTCTCTCCCTTTTTCTTTCCCTTTTCTTTCTTCTCTCTTCCTTCTCTTTCTCTCTCTCTCTTTTTTCAGAACAGAAAGCATCTGAACTGATCCACATATTTCCCCCCCCCCCAAAAAAAAACCCCAATTCTTCTCTCAGAGGGAAGAGCCAGAAACTGCAAGGAGCTCCATGAACAAGGAGAGACTCTCACTGGCTGGTACACCATCTATCCAATCCCAGGGAAAGTGATGGTGGTTTTCTGTGACATGGAAGTAGATGGAGGGGGCTGGTTGGTAAGTAACAGATCTTAGAGAGATGTTTGCTTCCAACATAATGAAAGTGGGGAAACCTCTTTTAATTCATTAGTAATATTCAAAGGCTAACTCAGCTTTTTCCAACCTGGCTCCCACCCGATCTGTTGGGGTGACAGTATCTAGGATTCCCAGCTGTTGCCCTGCTGGTTGGGAATTTCAGGAGTTGCTGTCCAGCATACCTGGAGGGGGCCAGGTTAGAGAACACAGAATACAGAATAACAGAGTTGGAAGGGACCTTGGAGGGCTTCTTACCCAACTCCCTGCTCAAGCAGGAGACCCTATGCCATTCCAGACAAGAGGTGGTCCAGTCTCCTCTTTAAAATCTCCAGTGATGGAGCACCCACAACTTCTAGAAGCTGTTCCACTGATTAACTGTTCTCACTGACAGGAAATTTATCCTTAGTTCTAGGTGGGATCTCTCTTCAATAAGTTTCCATCTGTTACACCTTGTCTTGCTCTCAGGTGCTTTGGGGGAAATTATAGAAATCTTCCTTCTGCCTGCCTGAAGCAGAGATCAGGAGACCCTGGGTTTCCCCTTCCTC